TTCTCCCAGAATGCCTGGCTCTGAAAAAGAACACCTTTGGCCCTTTCCCAGGTGCCAAGGTGCAAACAATATTTAGAGAAAGAGAGAGGGTGGAGGGAGGGGTTTCTGCTAATGCAAACAGAAAGATGGGGGTGCGTTTGTCTCTAGTGGTTGGGTATCGACTGGACTATCCATATCACCAGGAACAGAGTGTCGGTTCCACACTCCCACAAGCTCATAGGATGGGATGTTTTTGTCAAGGGTTCAGTCATAGTGGATGGAGTAACAACCACAGTGCTAATCACCCATACAGAAACCCATTTAGAAGTCAAGATAGGAAAACCACAGATCTGCACTTTTGACTAGGGCAAAAGTCTCAGTTCAAACAAACTGGGTGATGAATTTCCATCTGTCTTTCTGTTGCGTTTCTGGTTCTCCCTTTGGGTATTGGCAGCCACAGTTGGCCACCGGTGTTTCTCCCTTTCTTTCTCTTCCATTGAATCCAAATTTAACTCTCAGCAGGAAGCCTGCGTTTCATTCTGTTTCCTCTCCCTAGAAACTCACCCATACTTTCATTTGACTTGAATTTTGATTGTGTTGTGTACCAACTAATCCCCCCGGGTTCAAGAGCGTTTCTTGTTGCTCCGTGGCCGTGCCTTACGGAAATCTGATCATATCCACTGAATCGAGGCTTGGTTAAGAAAACTATCTCTCTGAATTTTCCACGCATCTAATAAGATCTGATTCAGCAGCCTATTGCGATCACTGTACTGCATAATATAACAAAAACAGTTATTCCCAAAATAACTTTTCTTCTTCTTTTTTCCTTTTGGGAATTATAGGGACAGAACTACCTAAATTGCATAGAAATTTATTTATGTATGCAAGAATGCAACTTGCCCCCAAATGGAAAGAAGTCCCAGCAAAAGAAGAATGGATACAAAAACTTATGGAATATGCAGAAATGGCGAAACTCGCCGGAAGAATAAGAAATCAAGATAACAAAGTTTTTATAAAAGAATGGAAATGGTTTATTGAATATTTACAGATAAATTGCAAACAGATAGAAACATCACCATGATTATTATAATAACCTGCAGTTTCATTTTTATATTTAAAGTTTATATTTAAAGCAGATAATTAAATGAGCAAATTAAATGAATTTGGATATGCAGAAGATATTAAAAAATAAATTTAAGGAACCGCAGAAGCAGGGGGAAGGACGTCAAACTTTGAAATGTTAAAATGTTAATGAAATGTATAAATTTGAAAAGTATTAACAATATAAACAGTAAAGAAAGCATATCAAAAAGTATACAACCAGACTGAACAATTCCCACATTAAATCATAAGATTTAAAAATAAAGATACAATAAATTAATATCAATAACAGCAACAACGTCCACCCACACAACAACAGAAAAACCCTAAACCTAACCCAAGAGTCTGTTCAGCAGCCTCAGGTTTTGTAGCTGGAGTCAGTCCGGGCCCTGCCCACCCAGCCCAGGTGGAAAAATGCATGCAAGACAGAGAGCAGGTCAAAACTCACAGTCAAAATTCACATGTGTATACACACCATATACACAATGGGACTGATTTTTGCTTTCATCTGTGAAAAGTTGGAGGGTATGGACAACCATCACAAAGAAGACAGTGCTTGTCATAGTGTACTGAATCATGTGCATGCCAGTCACTGAACAGATTTGCAAAAGGTTCTGTGAGAAGGCTCAGATGCAAGGAAATCACTCGAGTCTTGGGTGGAATCTAGACACATATAAAAACCGCTCAAAAAATGCTTTTTTAAAAGCTTTTTTAAAAAAAATACAGTGAGTTTTCCATAAGGCTCACCATCACCATCGTCACATTGTATATTGCACTTAAAACACACTTAAAACATTTTATTTGCAGCTGTATGGCTGAGTCCTTGCTCTCTGTAGACCCCACCCCTGAGTTCTTTCCTGCACAACAAAATGAGGGGTGGAGAATTGTTGCGTTCACAAAGTAAAGGAAGGACTGGACCCTGATTAAAAACAAGACACGAGGCTTTGACTAGCAAGGCTCTCAGAGAAAGTGCGTAAACCACACCCCTCACCAGGCCATTTTATTAGCAAAAGAATCTTTTACACAGTGCTCGTAAGAACCAATCATATTTCCTCTGAGCATTTCATCAAACCCCACGTGGGGGAAAAGTAACACTACAACACTAATTAGCATGCATATATTTTGGGGTAAATATGTTGAGAACTACAAAGGGGTAGTAAATAACTTGAGAACTACAAAGGGGTGGTAAATAAGTTGAGAACTACAAAGGGGTGGTAAATAAGTTGAGAACTACAAAGGGGTGCATCTGGCAACCCCAGAGCTGAGAAATAAACATGATAAGAAGGATGGCCAGAAAGACCAGATCACTACCACCTTCATGTGAGATCTGTTTCCTGGCTCCAAGATTAACATCTTAAGATATAAGAAAACTACATCAAAGTAACTTGCCCACTATCTTTATGGCACAGGATGCCTGCCTGGAGAAGCAACTGCTGTGTACTGCTGTGTACGTGACGTGAGGAGAGAGAAATGGGCAGTAGAGTCAAAAGGGCATGAAAAGGGCATGAATGTAGAATCTTATGGGATTTAATCAGAAATTATCGTCAATATATCAAACCCAGTCAACACAATGCTTTCATCATGGACACGATGGCTTGATGTATATTTTATAATTCCTCATGGTAATCCCATCTGATCCCTACAGAGAATCACTTTGTTTCCTCCATCCCTGACCCCAAACCTTGTTGGCTTATTTTTATCCAATTTAGGACAGTGCTCAAAAAAAATGCATATTCAATTCCTTTTTCTTTGGGATAGATCTTTTTTTAAAAAAAAAAAAATTTAAGTACTCACAAATGCACAAATGTTGAAGAAGCTAAACTCACGCATTTTCTTTACACTTTGAAGCATTATGCATGTTGCTGGCAATATACAAACATGGTGGTGATGAATGAGCAGTAATTTTGGAAGGAGCCTTTGTAAAGTGAGCCTATAATGACCATTTGTTTCCCTCTTGTCTTGCCTCTGCCTCCAACACACAAGCTTGTTACAATTGGTCATTTCTACTGAGCGGAAAAGGAAATGGAGTGTTGACCCTGGCGTCTGTCTTAAGCCTGCTTGAGGCATAAATCTACTTTATGCAAATAAATACTCTACACAATTCTAATGTTTTGTCATTTCTTCCATACCACCCAAGACAACGAATTCATTTATTTTGATTCTTACTTATGGTGAGTGTGTAAGGTCTGTGTTACACATCACCTGGGTCTTACTGAGACCCTCCTTACTTCCTATCCTCCCTTTTCCTACCTAGGTGCCTTGTCTGATATCCAACTTGTCCAGTTCGGATCTGGGACAGTGTCTCCAGGAGAGGCCCTCAGCCTCACCTGTACTGTCAGTGAATTCTCTGTTTTGTGTCCTTATTTGCACTGGGTCCAGAAACATTTTTGAAAAGGGCTGGAATGGAAGGGAGCAGTAAACTGGACTAGGTCCAGATGGCACACAAACTATGCCTCGTTTTTACAAGGACAAATCACCATCTCTGCAGATACACCCACCAATTCATTCTCCTTGACAGCTGCAGACACTGAGACATATTTTCGGTAAAGGACCCCTGGACCCCTCAACAACTTTTGTGTCCAAATTTCCACCTTTTGAAATATGGCAACCCTATTTTAGCATGTCCTTCTTCTTAAATAGAGGACAGGACTGAACTGTCTTCCCTTTATGGAAATTGGTCAGACATACCCTTCCTGTTTAAATAGCAGTGTCCTGTGGTACTCTGTGACCTGAATGGGCCTCATACAATTTGTACAAAAGACAGAGGAGTGAGTGATTAAAAAGAAATATGAGATCCTTTTGGCTCATTCTTCTGAGCATCTTACCTGGTGGGTATTTTCATCCCTACTTTAAAAAACAGAAAGTTTATTTCAACCATAAGAGCATTTATTTCAGAACTCTATAATTCCTGTCCCTTTTCTGCAGGTATCTTATCCAGTACACAACTGACCCAATCTGGTACAGGAGAAGTGAAGCCTGGAGAGACTGTCAAACTGATTTGCTCTGTCTCAGGTGTCCAAGTCAGTGGTTATTACTGGGGCTGGATCCGACAGCCTCCAGGAAAAAGGATGGAATGGTTGGGTCACATTCGGAGCACTGCATCTGGAGGAACTTCATACTACAGTCCAGCTTTCAGCAGTCGAACCAGCATCTCCAGGGACACATCCAGAAATGAAGTGTATCTCCAGCTGAGCTCCCTGACATCTGCAGACACAGCAATGTATTATTGTGGAAGGGCCCCACAATTAAGCAAAGCAATGGAGCATCCATTCAAAAACATATTCCACCATGAATGCCTCTACAGACACCATTAGACCCCTGTTTTGACCAGAGCTCTGACTAGTCTGTTCATACAGCATTCTTGCAGCATTCTTGGAGGGAAGATTTATTGCTCAGGGAATCCCACGGAAGCTATTGAAAACTTACTTATGTGCATTGCACAGCCCCAGATCTCATTGCCCCATTAATGGTGGATGAGGCCAAAATCTCATCTCACTGAGCATTCTCACTGGGCATTCATCTCACTGAGCATTATATTGAATCAGGCCAATAGTCCGTCTAGTTCAGTATAGTCTACACTGGCTGGCAGCTGCTCTCCTATCTGTCAGACAAAAGAATTTGAGACAAAAGTCTTCCCTTCCTGACACCCAGTATAGAGAGTAGATATCTAGATAGATCAATGGTCTGACTTGGGATGGGGCAGCTTCAGGTTGAATTCTCGGCGCTTGACCTTCCAGTTTGGCAACCCCAGCAGAAGTGCTTCCTTTTATCATATTCACTTCCTAAATGCAGCACCCACTGGCCTTCATGCAAATCTCCAAAGGAAGCTTTTCTGGTTTAAATAGCATTGTCTGATTTTTCACCCTCATTCTATTTTGTTTTGTACATAAGAGAGGAAGAGGAGCAAGTGAGAAGCAAAAATGAAATCTATTATGTTGGTTATTGTTGGTCTCTCGGCTGTTTCACCAGGTGAGGATTTATGCATCAGATCTTTTTTTTAAAATATATTGAACTAATTAAAAAGTGCACACCAGATTTAACTCTATATTTCTGCCCCCTTTCTGCAGGTGTCTTATCCAGTACACAGCTGACTCAGACTGGCCCAGTTGAGCTTAAGCCCGGAGAGTCCCTCCAACTGACCTGCACTGTCTCTGGTGTCCAAGTCAGTGGTTATTACTGGAGTTGGAACCGGCAGCCTCCAGGGAAAAGGATGGAATGGTTGGGTTTCATTCAGCACTCAATAAATGGAGGAAATGCCTATTACAACCCAACTTTCAGCAGCCGAGCCAGCATCTCCAGGGACACCTCCAGAAATAAAGTCTACCTCCAGCTGAGCTCCCTGACAGTTGCAGACACTGCAACATACTTTTGTGCAAAAGCATCACAGTTTGGCAAAGCGGTGGAGCACCCCAGCAAAAACCACACTCTGACTTGAATGTCTACAGGGACACAGCCAGCTCTCCGTTTCGACCAGAACTCCAAATAAATAATCTGCATGGTCTGGATGGAAGATTATTGTTGACAAACACAAGCAAAATACCCACCACCATGGCAGGGAGGGAGAATGAGTTAACAGTACTTTTTTTCAGGCCTGGGCAGGACTTGTCTGAGGCCCCTGGAGGGAGTCTTGTTAGAGGAAAGTTATATACTCAAACCAAAAAGCAGCTGGTCCCTGGAGGCTGACCTCTCCGATGAAGGGATGTGGGTGGCGCTGTGGTCTAAACCACTGAGCCTCTTGGGCTTACCGATCAGAAGGTCGACTGTTCAAATCCCCATGACAGGATGAGCTCTCATTTCTCTGTCCCAGTTCCTGACAACCTGGCAGTTCGAAAGCATGCCAGTGCAAGTAGATAAACAGGTACTGCTGCGGTGGGAAGATAAACATTGTTTCCGTGCTCTCTGGCTTCCCTCACGATGTTCCATTGCATCAGAAGCAGTTTAGTCATGCTGGCCACATGACCTGGAAACGCCAGCTCCCTTGGCCTGAAAGGGAGATGAGCTCTCAACCCCATACTCGCCTTTGACTGGACTTAACATTCCAGGGCTCCTTTACTTTTTACCTTTACTTTAACCCTCTGAGACCCGGGGCAAGTATACTCGGCTGTACCTCTTTTCTGCAGGGGCCAACTTATTTTGTCTCATAATATTCTGTGTAAGCTATTGAACATTTTCCTTAGCATGGCACCACCCTTTCACCTCCAGAGCCCCACCCCAGGATCCATTCATTACTCATGCTCAATGTGCATTCATGCAGACATAGAGACACAAAAATCGGCATACACACAAACTGTTCCACTTTGAGTGCGACATCCCAAATCTACTGAAGTCAGCCCAGCTTCTGTTTTAATTCCCAGATGTCCCTCATCCAATGCCACAGTAAGGCCTCCTCCTCCTCCTCCTCAGCTAAGCCCAACACCCTTACCCACTACTCTCTTTCATACACATGTACACCCCTGACTTTTATGCTGTTGCTGACTCCTGGACACACACCCATATTCTGGGGCAGACACAAGAACTTTTGACAGAAAAAAGGAGGGAACTCCAGGCTTCTAGCATAACTGCCACTAGGCATCAGTGTGCCCCCTCTCACATATGGAGCAAAAGGCAGCAACAAGGACAGAATATCCTGTCTTTGGGCATTCAATGTGAATTTGGAAATTTGCTATTCTGTCAATGAGATGCATTCCTCTGTAATTTTCCTTTCTCTGTGTCTTCAATATTTTATATTTCTCAAAACTCACTGGTACCTGCTTTGATTCCTTTTCAAAAGGAGACAGGCATATTTTCAAGTAAATCACTGTACACTTCTTATGTATGGAGTATTCTAAAATATGTAATGACAGCTACCTTATTTTTGGGAAGGCTGTTTGTGTCAATAGAATACTAAATTTGCAGCCTTAGCAACTGTGACCTTCTTTAAACTTCTCTGCTTCTTAAATACAGGACTGGACTAGACTGAGTTCTCTTTATGCAAATCTGCCAAACAGGATGCCTCTGTTTAAATAGTCTTCTCCAATGGTGAGACATGGGCCGGTTGAGTCACTTACATTCTGTATAAAAAACAGAGGAGTGAATAAACAAAAACAAAAACATGCAATCTTTGCTAATTTTCCTCATTGTCCTAAGTGCCTCACCTGGTGAGTATTTATGCTAGCTGTAAAAACAAGAATCTGGAACCCAACCCAAAAAGAATCCATGTTAGAGTTCCAATATTTGCCCTCTTTTTGCAGGTATCTCCTCCAGTCCTCAGCTGACCCAATCTGGCCCTGGAATCGTGAGGCCAGGCAAGTCCTTCAAACTGACCTGTTCAGTCTCTGGTGCCCAAGTGAGTGGTTATTACTGGGGCTGGATCCGAGAAACTCTAGGGCAAGATCTGGAATGGATGGGTAACATTCGGCCCACATCAGGTGGAGGAAGCAGCTACTACAATTCAGCTTTCAGCAGCCGAAGCACCATCTCTAGGGACACCAACAAAAATGAAGTCTATCTTCAGATGAATTCCCTAACAGCTGCAGACACAGCAGTATATTATTGTGCAGGAGACACAGCAAAGCAAGACAACGAATCATCCATGCAAAAAACCAGTAATACACCAGCATTAGAGCAAGGAATGAGGGTGGGTGGAGGGAAGATCTATTGCTCAGAGAATCCCATGAAAGCTATTGAAAACTTGCTCATGTGCATTGCACAGCCCCAGATCTCATTGCCCCATTAATGGTGGTTGAGCCCAAAATCTCATCTCACTGAGCATTATGTTGAATCCGGCCAATAGTCCGTCTAGTTCAGTATAGTCTACACTGGCTGGCAGCTGCTCTCCTATCTGTCAGACAAAAGAATTTGGGACAAAGTGTCCCCTATCCCTCTTGGACTTTGAACAGGATGCCTTCTCCCCCTGTATTTGAACTTGGCCATTCCTAGATGGTGGCTGTGTTGGTGTTGCTGACATGGAGCCCAGCCTAACATGAGCAACAATAGAGAGAAGCCTAAAGGGTCAATAAGAGCTACAGCTCAGTGGCAGAGCATGTGATTTGCATGCAAAAGGTCCCAGGCTCAATCACTGGCATCTTCAATCAGGCTGGGAAAGTTTCCTGCCTGACACCCAGTATAGAGAGTAGACATCTAGATAGATCCATGGTCTGAATTGGGATGGGGCAGCTTCAGGTTGAATTCTCAGTGCTTCAGCAGGAGTGCTTCCTTTTATCTTATTCACTTTCTAAATGCTCACCCAAAGGCCTTCATGCAAATCTCCAAAGGAAGCTTTTCTGGTTTAAATAGCATTGTCTGATTTTTCACCCTCAGTCTCTTTTGTTTTGTACAGGGCAGAGGAGGCAGAGGAGCAAGTGAGGAGGAGAGATGAAATCTATTGTGCTGCTTATTCTTGGTCTCTCGGCTGTTTCACCAGGTGAGGATTTTCAGCTTGGAATATTCCTCTGGCAGCCTTGACAAGTGTGTCTCCTTTAGTTCTTCTGCTTTTTAAATTCAGGGTTGTTCCTCTTTAAATAGCATTCTCCAACGGTGCTATATGAGCTGCGTTGTATTCATTCTGTATGAAAAGCAGAGGAGCAAGGGATTAATAACAAAGATGATTTTTTTGTTACTTTTGCTCATAACCCATAGCATCTCACCTGGTGGGAATTTACTCCTGCTGTAAAAGCAAAAATGCTTAACCCGCATCAAAAAGAACGCAGATTATAAATGTAATTTTCTGACATCCCCCCCCCCCCGGTAGGTATCTGCACCAGGCCACAGCTGACCCTGTCTGGCCCAGGAGCGGTGAAGACAAGAGAGTCCTTTAAACTGACCTGCAGGGTGTCAGGTGTCGAAGTCAGTCTCTTGTACTGGAGCTGAATGCGACAACCTCTAGGGAAAGGTCTGGAATGGTTGGGAAACATTCAGAGAGAAAGAGATGGAGGAAGAACTTACTGCAATTCAGCTTTCAGCAGCCAAATCAGCATATCTAGGGACACCTCCAGAAATGAAGTGTATCTTCAGATGAATTCCCCAATGGCGGCAGACACAGCGGTGTATTTTTGTACAAGAGACCACAGCAAACCAAACCAATGAAACATCCATGCAGAAACTTAGTAATATATCCAGTACCAGGGCAGGCATTGAGGGTGAGTGGAGGGAAGATTGATTGCCAGATAGAATCCCATGAAAGCCATCAAAAACTTTCCTATTTGCATTTTACTGCCCTAGGTTTCATTACCCAGTTTAAACAAAGGAGCATTCCTGGATCAGGCCAAAGGTCCACCTAGCTGAGAATTCTCACAGTGCCTAACCAGATGTCTGTGAGAAGCTTGCAAGAAGTCCAACAGTGCTACTTCCCCACCTGAGATTGCCGGCCACTGGCATTCAGAACATTGTTGCTGTTGCATTTATTATCTAGGCTTAACGAGTAGGCCCCATGTCAGGTTACAACAGTTTAAAATTCAGAATTAAAAGCAGTTGAACAGACTCTGTAATCACAAGCACACGTTTCAGGTGTCAAGGGCCAGGTAATAATGTCAGTGTACTGGAAGAAGCAAAGATCACCAGTGTGAAGCAATGAGTCTTCAACATCAACTTCGTTGGACTGGTCATGTTGTTCGGACAATGGGTGATATAATGCAAGGGAGATCAGGAGTAGAGGGTGCGGAGAGAAATTGCCCAATATCAGGCAAGGGTCCAAATAATTTGGGGTGATGCAGAAGGGAGAAGAGTTTGGAGGACTTCCCTTCCCTAAACTTTCCTAACTGATGTCTTAGGATGCAATCCTATGAAGCCAACCCAGAGAGACTCCACAGAGTGGTACTAATTTTTCTCGCTTTGTTCAGGTGTCTTCTGCAGTGTGCATCTGACCCAGTCTGGCCTGGGAGCAGTGAAGCCCGGACAGCCCCTCCAGCTGACCTGCGCTGTCTCTGGTGCTGAAGTGAGTGGCTGGTACTGGGGCTGGAACCGACAGACTCCAGGGAAAAGTCTGGAGTGGTTGGGCGGCATTCAGAGTGTGGCCGTGGGAGGAAACGGATACTACAGTTCCAAGTTTAGCTCCCGAATCAGTATCACCAGGGAAGCCTCCAAAAACGAATTCTATCTTCTGTTGAGATCCTTCACAGCTGCAGACAACGCTGTGTATTACTGTGCAAGGGAAAGAGCAGCACTCTGAGGCAAGGCAGTGGAGTACCCAGACACAAACTGTGAAGAGTCATTTGGCCTCCTAGACAGATTCAATATTTTATGCTCGATTGCTCACCGTAAAACATTTCTGCTCCACTCTTCTTCAAATGCAGATCAAAACAATTTTGGGAAGGGCAGTAGCTCAGGGGCAGAGCATCTGCTTTGCAGGCAGAAATGTCCCAGATTCGCTCCCAGGCATCTCCAGGTAGGGCTGGGAAGGAATTCCTGCCTAAAACCATGGAGAGCTACTAGCAGCCAGGGCTTAGCCACACATACCCC